ACACATGGGAAGACTTGTATGAACTGATACATAGTGAAGTTAGCAGAACCAGAACAATTTATATAATAACACTACAAAGATAAACAACTTTGAAAGAACTCTGACCAATTATAATTCCAGAAGATTGATGATGAAGAGTGCTACCCATCTCCCAACAAAGTAGTGAGGAACTTGAGATGCAGAATAAGACATAAATTTTTAAACAGCCAATGTAGGAATTTGTTTTGCTCGACTGTGCATATTTATTATATGAGTTTTCTCTCTTTTTTTTTTTTCCAGTGAGGGAGAGGGTGAGGTAGGGAGAAAAAATAAATGACTTGAAAAAAGAAAAATTGAAAAAAAAGACATTAAATAAAGAAAAAAAATTATGACAGGAAAAGGAGAAAAAAGCTGGCAATAGTTTGACACATATCCTGATTTGGGAAGAGCAAAATATAAAGGAGTCAAACAAAAAAATATCTAAGAGAGTAGAGACTTCCCTTTGATAAGGAAGTAGATTCAGTTGGGATGAGAAAATTTCCAAAGAATTAAGATTATAGGCATTTCAAGAAGAATAATTGCAATGTATAATACAAAGGGAGCTGTCTAAAAAGACTGATCATGATGTACAACAATAACCAAATTAGATTTTGAAGGAAAACTAAAACAGAATGAGTTAACGCAGGATGAATGCAAAACCTGGTACAATCTGATTCAAAGAGTGTCAAGTATGCTGAAACTCAGAAGGAACTAAGGCTGGCGAAGAAAGCTATGGATAACAAAAATAATTTTTAAAAGCGATATATTGGAAAAAAGTAGAAGATCAAAAACAGAAAGGATGGTTGCTCAAGATGGAAAAATAATAAATGAAAAGGAGAGAGAAGGCAGAATTACTTTCTTTGGTAAAGATCTTAGTTTGAAAAGACCAGAACAAAAATCTTAAAATTTTATGACCAAGATAAGGAGACAGTAGAAGAGGAACTTAATGAGTTAAATTCGTCAAAAAAGAACTAAACCCTCAGTTACTGAAAAAGGTAGCAGATGTAATTAATGGGTCACTATTGATGACGTCAGGAAAATGGCGGAGCATTTCAGTGGAACTTTTGGTGTGACCATGGGCAAGTCACTTAAGGTTTCTGAACCTCCATTTCTTCATCTCTAAAATAGGAATAATAATGCCTTTAATGCCTACATTACAAGGCTGTGAGGCTTAAAGACTAAAGGGGAAAAGTACGTAATATGTTTTAAAGCACCTTAAAGTGCTTTATAAATGTCAGGCACTGTTATTGTCAGAGCACTGGAGAACAGCAAATGATTGACTTCCAAAAGAAGTGAGAAAGGAGGGGAAGCTAAGTGGCACAGTGGATAGAGCACTGGCCCTGAAGTCAGGAGGACCTGAGTTCAAATCTGGCCTCAGACCATACACTTGTCACTTACTAGCTGTGTGATCCTGGGCAAGTCACTTAACCCCTACTGCCTTAAAAAAAAAAAGAAATGAGAAAGGAGTAGAAAACCTATAAGCCAATTAATTTGATCTTCATTCCTGGAGAATTCTAAAGCATTAGAAAGGGATGGTTAGTGGAAATCTAGAAAAGGAAGTAATGATCACTAAGGGCCAGCCAGCAATGATTCATCAAGATTGAATTTTTTTTCTTTTTTGCAAGCATCATTACATAGGTAAACCAAGTGAATATTATACATACTATTTATTGATGTTTTGACAAAGTTTCTCATGTTATTCTTATGGAAAAGATAAGATGTGGGTTAGGTAGTAACATAAGTAGGGATACTTGGGAGTTAGTTGAATAGTTGGACTCAAACATGGGTCCATGGAGAGTGGGAAGTTCCACAGTGAAGTATTTGGGGATGTGTTCATGGTAATACGCTATCTACCACTTTTATCAATGATTTGAATAGGGACAAATGGAAGACAGACAAGTTCGCCAATGAGAGAAAGCTAGCTTGGACAATGAGTGCCTTGGATACTCATCTGCACTGAAAAACAACTTGGAATAGTTAGAATTACACATTATTTGAATGAGATTAAATTTTGGGGAATATACCCGTGATTTCATTTCTTGGCAAGAAAACTCCCCCAAACACCACAGTTAGGCACCTGCTTTTACACTCTAAGAGAGCTGCTTGAAGCCCTGAGTGATTAAATGACTTGCCCAGGATGACTTAAGCAATACACAGAAGAAAGGAACTTGAGCCCAGCTCTTCCTGTCTACCAAAGTCAGCTTTATCTAGCGGACCATAAAGCCTACATAAGAGGGGTTCTGCTTCCAGGAGGCAAGATGGGGGAGTAAGAAGTAAGTCGCTCGCATCGTCCCTTATTAACCTCTGAAAGCCCAGAAAAATCACCCCAGGAAAAGCCCTGGAACAGCCGAACCAGCAGAAAGATGGGGTGCAGCAGTCCTGTAGCCCAAGAAGCTTGAGGGATTAACAGGAAAGGGCCCTCCTGCCCTGAGGGAGGGGGAGCAGTACAGAACGGGAGACGTCCCAGCAAGCCAGCAGAAAGCCCCACCTCAGCATACCAGGGGGAGATCTTGAACCCCAGGCGGTGGAGCAGGCAAACAACCCACACCAGGACCACTGAGTACCTCAATGCAGACTGGGGAACCAGCGGAAACTGGCTCAAAAAACCACCACATGCCAAGGCGTTCTCTGGCAGCCAAGTCTCCTGGTGCCTCAGCAAAACTCTGGGAAGCACAACTCCAAGTGGGAAAGCCCCAGGTGGAGAAACATCCTGCGGCAGCAAAACAATCATCTACAAGGAGCTGAAGAAGGTGAACGGCCCGAGTGAGCAGGCAACCTTCAGGGGCCAGATTACCCACTCCTACCGCTAGAGCTCCTGTGTTGCTGAGTCCAGCTCAACAACAGGTAAGCTGCCAGAACCCTACAGCCTCCCACTGTCAGCACCTGAGGTCCCAGCACACAAAACCAATGACCAAGCCCCAGGCTCCTAGCACAAGAAGCTTGGGTCAGTGCTCCCTGCTCCCCAGCAGGAGAGCTCAATTTTTTTAAAGGCCAGGAAATAAGCCAACACCACGAGCAAAAAGAAATGTACCATCGATTCTTATTATGGGGACAGTGAAGATCAGGGCAGAACTTCTGAAGAGGATAACATTGTCAACTAACCCACATCTGAAACTTCAAATGGGAATATAAACTGGTCTGAAGCCCAAAAAGCCTTCTTGGAAGAGCTCAAGAAGGATTTTAAAAGTCAAATAAGAGAGGCAGAAGAAAAATTGGGAAAAGAAATGAGAGGTATGCAAGAGAGAGTCAATAGCTTGGAAAAGGACGGACAAAAAACAACTCAGAAAACAAGTCCTTAAAAAATACAAATGATCAAATGGGAAAGAAAGTACACTGAAGAAAACAAGTCCCTAAAAAATACAATTGGCCAACTGGAAAAAAAGTACACTGAAGAAAACAAGCCCCTAAAAAATACAACTGGCCAACTGGAAAAAAAAGTACACTGAAGAAAACAACTCCTTAAAAAGCAGAATCAGCCAAACAGAAAAGGAGGCACAAAAACTCACTAAGGAAAACTCCTTAAAAAGTAAAATGGGCCAAATGAAGAAGGAGGTACAAAATCTAATGGAAGAAAACAATGTTTAAAATTAGAATTGGGCATTTTAAGCCTACATAAGATGAAACTTCCTAGAGATATAGTCTTAGTCTTGGTTTTAAAAAGTGAACTTTACATTTATAAGATGGCTAAACAACAGTTAGTCCAAAAAAGACATGGGAGTTTTCAATGAGATCAAAGAAAGGAAAAGATCCATACGTACAAAAATATTTTAGCAGCCCTTTTTGTTGCAACCAATTACTGGAAACAAAGCGGTGGCCATCAATTATGGAATGGCTGAACAAATTATGACATGTAAATGTTCTAAATGGATACTTCTAATAAAAAATACGAAGGGTTGTTTCGTAAAACGTTCTTTTGAACTTCCAATATCTCCTCTGTCACCTCCAACTCTTGGAATCCAGGACCTCCTTCAAGATTCAGCTTCAGTGACGTCTTGGTATAGATGAAAAATCTTTCCTCATCGCTCAACTTTCTGCATCTACGGATGTTAATAGAGCGCTCTCATATTCAGTTATCTACATAGATTATGTATGCCACCAAAGAATATAATAATCTCCTTTGTGTGCCCAGAGCCTACACATAATATGTACTTCATGAAGACTTCTTGATATAAGTTGAGTAGAAAATAAATGACTGTCTGAGCTTGGATAGAAGGATGAGCAAAGATGTCAGGAACCATAAAGTAGTGGAAAGGGCACAGGGCTTGTTGTAATCAAAATGACAAACAAGAGCTGTGCTGGGTTCCAGGCTGTTAGGAAGGACAATGATAAATTAGACAGTTTCCTGAAGAGGACATCAAAGATAGGGAAAAAACCATCAACTCCTGCTGAACGAAGAACGGCTCAAGGTAAGGGAGAAATTTGACCCTCACGTAGGGACGTGCCAGAGGTCTTCTAGTATTAGACAGGCTGTCAGAGGGAAGAGAGACTATACCTATCATGCTTAGCCCCAAAGGATAAAGCTACGGGCGGGAGGTGTAAAGAAACACATTTACACTTGATGTCAGGAAGAACATGACCAGTAACTATGAGAACTGTCCAAAAGTAGAAGAATGGGCTGCCCTGGGAGGCAGTGGATTCTACCTCACTGAAGGCATTTATGCAGAGACCAAACAACTGACACTTATGATGTAGACTGGATTTTCCTTTAAATATTCCCTTCCAATCCTGAGATCACATTTTTAATTTCAGCTCCCAGGGTCTGTCTCCTACATATAAAAGATGGGGGAAATTACATCTAAGGTCCTGTCCAGAGCTAACATTCTGTGATCCAGTGGAAACTGGTTTGTTGGTATGAAAACGAGGGTACATTAAAATACTAGACCTGATCAGAGGCGAGCTTTCTCCTTGGGCCTGGAAAAATCGGAGGAGACTGCAGCTCTTCCTTGCAATGACTCCCACCTGCCTGGTTTTCAGTCACCCACCTGGAAAGGTGCCTCCTAGGACAGCTCTCTCTGGCATCCATGGTGTTCCTCCTCTTTCCAAAAGGAAGATAATACCTGGTTTGTTAACAGCAAGCCCTGCTCAGGGGAAAGAAATGGGAAAATGCTTTGAATAGAGTCTCTCTGGGTCCTAGTTTCCTCATCTATGAAGGACGGACTTGGGATTAGATAATCTCTAGGGTCATCCTTCCAATTCTAGATTTGGGATCTTGTGAGCCCCAATAACACACATATCTGGAACATCCCTGCTCATCAAGCCAGCTGAGCCAACAAAAGTGAGCTAAGCACTGGAGATCACCACAAAGGCTCTACCAAACAAGAATGTGAAGGTCTCCTAATAAGCAAATTTGGAATTAAAAAGGAAAGCTGTCTTTACCCAGAGAGACAAGGTTCCCATAGTTCTCCAGCATCACATCCCTGAACAAGTTCCTCTGGGCAGGGTCCAGTTGCCTCCACTCCTCTGGAGTGAATTCCACAGCCACATCCTTGAAGGTCACTGATTCCTGAAACATCAATACATTCCTCTTCACCCAGAGATCCTCAAACACATGGGTGCTGGGGGAAGCCAGAGATGAACCACTTGCATACACCGGGAGTATCTTTCACAACAATTCAGGGTCTGGAGCATATCTCACTCTGCTTTGTAACCTCCCTAGCTTCCTTCAAGGTTCAACCTAAGCAATACCTCTGGCAAGACAACTATTCTAAAGCAGCACCCCATCCCACCCCCAAAGAAATGAGCTTTTCTTCACTTTGTATATATTAGGTGTTTACTGTGCTCATAAGTATAAAGTAATAGAGAGCACAGCTATAATGGATCAATCAACAGCCATTTACAAGGACCCATTACCGAGACAGTAGGAATACAAAGACAAAAAGAAAAGAGTCATTGCTCTCACTAACACAGCACCTTTAGGTGCTACCCTTGGACATGAAGATGCAGTCTATCAGGGAGGACCACTAAGCTACAAAGTTAACACAAGGAGGCACTAGCAGCTACAGACGATTAGAAAAGGCTACATGCTGGAGGTGGTATTTGAGCTTAGTTCCAAAGGAGGAGAGGAATTCTAAGAGGTGTAGATGAGAAGGAAGTGCATTCCAGGTACAGGGCGCTGTACGGAAAGGAATGGAAATGGAAGACGGAGGCCTGTATGTGAGGAACATAGGGAAGGCTGATTCGGACCAGACAGTACACACAGAGGAATAACACACAAATGTCCAGGAAACGTAGTTTGGAGCACGTAGTAAAGGGATTTCAATGCGCCACAGGGGAATCTATGTTTGATCCTAGGGGTAACAGAAAGCCAGAGTTCATAGAGCAGGGGCATAACACTGTCATAATTGTTCTTGGAGAAAATCACCTTGACAGCTGTGTGGAAGCTGGACTGGAGAGGGACAGAGACAGACAGACTTACAGAGACAGACTTGAGGCAGCAAGACCAATTATGAAATAAGTGGTCCATGAGCTTGTTTACTGAGTATCAACTATGTGTTTAACTTTGTACTATAATCTATAGCATGATCACAGAGCACGGCTTCACGAATCACAAATGTCACTTAGTTTGGAACCTGAAAAACGCTCGCACCTCTACAAAAGCAGCTGAACAATCTGACTGGTTATGCCTTACCCTTTTAGAGGGATTAAACCATGAATTAAACTGTTACTCTATCTCCAAAACCACAGGCACCAATGGAAAACTCCAGATGCTGTCATGACGACAGAAATTTATAGAAACAGAAGTACCCAGAAGCTGTTATTTCAAGTCAGATTATAGAAGAGAATCAAAGATGCATAGTGGAAGGGGGGGGGCTCTAGAAGCCTACCTGGAAAGATCTCAGTGTAACAGTCCAGTGACACACCTTTGAAGTCATTGCGTCTATCATTAAGGGCTTTGGATGGCCAAAGAACCTCATTTTACCAAGAAATCTAATTTCCAAATATATTATGATCCACTCCCCAACTCAATAACTCATCCACGGAACAATGAATAAACAAGGGAAAAAATGCAGCTCAGCAAAATCAATTGACAAAAAACCAAACAAATCTAACAATATATTCAATATTCAATACCCATCGTTCGAGAAAAAGGAGACTTAAATCCGACCAGAGGTCAGAGGTCATTTTTCAGATTCAGACAGCAATGCTTCCTGGGCCAATCAAAAGTCTTCCTTGCCTCTGTTGCAATAAAGAGAAACTGAGGCAATAAAGTTTCGAGCATATTCAATTTATTAGCAAAACCAGCAATTGCCAATAAATAGGCTCCAGGGATCCTCAGTAGCCAAGGATGCATCAGACGGTCAAGGCAGCTCTTTTAGAGTCGGTATCAAGGCACTGATCAGCCTATACAATCTTGGGCAACACAGGGGATCTTACTTCTGACCGCCTGGTGCCAAAGTCACTAGCCACAAATTACATCAGACCAGGTGGCCTAACACTGGACCAACATCCTCTGGGCAGTTCCATGGCGGCCACTTTCTAAGGGAGAGAGGAATCTTGCGGTCTGGTTGATGCTTCCGAGGGGGCATGCTATTTATTCCTGGCTGAATTGAAATTCTGTGGGTGGAGAGTACCCAGGAAAGGGGAGCTGACACTTAGGGCTGTTTACTTGGTTATGAGGGAGACCGTAGGACAGGGTCAAGCTGTTTGTCCTTACGGTTATTAGAATGTACATGAGGAAACAATAACAGGATGGCTTTGCCAGCAATGCATGATTACTTTGTAGGCAGGGGTGACTTGTGTTAAAAACAGGAAGCTTGCAGCTTCAGGCTTAAGTTCAGAGAACGTTCAAGTTCACATACCAAGGGAGAGTAACTAATACATAGCAACCTGATTATTAATACAAAGTAAATTAATTATGTCTTAATAAATAACACAAAATAAAGTGGCGTATCAATTTGCAATTCCACAATTCCCTGCTTTGATTTTTGGGAGACGTCTCCCATGAATCACCATCTGAAAACTAGATCGATATAATTAGACATGATCAGCATCCCTTAGCAATGGGGAGATTGCACAGGTATGCAAAATCAGGCTGAGAAAGGAGATTTCACATAAACATCATGAAATATAGAAAGCAATAATTACAGGGGAAAAAAAAACCAAAACAAAACCCTGGGTTAACTTTGTCTCTGCAAAGCCACCCTGTGAGAACACTCTAGTAGTACATACAACATTTTAGAGAAGGCCAGGGATTAGTACGCCCCCTTCTCCCAGTCAGGAAAATACCCAAGAAACCCAAGAATAGGGATCATCTCACAAGGAATTAGCAGCAAGTGAGAACAAGGTGACTTTGGGCAGGAATAGGTACCCATGATTCCAAAGTGTTTTCACGGAGCTGGTGACAGACTCAACACTCATGGGGCCCAAGGAGCAGATTATGTCAAACTTGACAATCAGGTCCAATGACAGCGTTATTCATTATCCATTTGTCACGAGAGAGGGCTGTGGGCAATAGTGCCTGACTGACGGTAGTGCTAGAATTTTAGCACAAATTCTTTAAGACCAAAAAGTTAAGTGGGCTGATCTAGAGCTTAAAGACTTACTACATTATGGTCGGCGCATTGACAGAACTTTTCAGGGGGCAGTCCCCTTTGGTACAGAGGCAGTGGCGCATGGGGAAAAAGAGAAGCGAGAGTGTTGACAAAGTAGCTCTGCTGGGTCACCAGAAATTCTTGACGTAGACAGAAAAGTCCAAAGGTCAAGTTGTACTGCAGTCCACACTGGCGGAGGGCTTTCAGCTTGGATGCAGGAGGCCACAGATGTTGTTCCTTCTTCCAGATCTGCTTCTCAGGTTCCAAGAGCATGTAGGAAGGCTTAATACAAACTCAATACAATTCAGTACAACAATAACTAGTTCACATGGTGAAAAACCTGCTCAAGTCTTATGGTTCTGATTTTATCGACAACAAAGCTATAAGAAGAACATCAAATTAATAATTCTTAATTTCCCAAAACTTCAGAGAATTTCAGTTGCTGTTTTCTATCTTTACTGAAACCCTACACTTGATCTTACAAAGAATCCATGAGGGTCTGAATTGGAAAATGAGACTTTCTTTCTCTTAAAATTGTAAGATAAATACTTTAAATAGGAAAATAATTACACTCTCTTCACAATTATCGATACAATTTATCAATGCAATTTTATATGTTGAAAGTCCTTAATCAATTTTGAAAACTATCTCTGTCATATATATTGATCACAATTCCCTCTCATTCCCCTCATAATGATATTATTACTATAGCATATACATGAATATAATTACAAACTAGACGAAAATCATGGAAGATCTTTCATATTTACATAACTCAGATATTTCAGTACTAATAACTGATTACCTGCCATGAATCTCTAGAATGTGGTTCTATTTTACAAGCTGAAGTGCTTCATTCCAAGAGCTTATCACAGAAATTTGCTATGAAAGGAAAAGGAGGGACATGGTTATGAGGATACGGAGTAGCTACAAGGGGAAAACACCCTTAGCTCTATTTTGATTCCAGGCCAGAGCAATGGATAACAGTCAATCATCCAAAGCTCCACATTATTCACAGGGTACCAAAAAGCAGGCTCACAATTATCCAGGTGGGAAAATTTCCTGTTTGGAAAGGAAGCAGCTCAACTGGAATCCAAGTCAAGAGGATCCCACCTTCACCTTCGCAAGGTCGTCCTCTCAACCTTCTCCCAAAGGCAGACATCCACCTGTAGCAGTCCTCAGACTGCAGAACGAGGCAGCCCTTTGGATTACTGGGTTCGTGATCTTAACAGAGCGCCTGAAACCAAAACTCAGAACTATATCGAAGTAAAGTCCCAGAAGACTTCACCTTAAATAGCAAAACTCCATGAAGCGTATGTTTGGGCAGGATAGAGGCACTGTGTCTATGTGTCAATGGCACTGGCTACAAATCAGACAGCATCCACGGATAAAGTTTCCTAAATTCAATATAGTTTCTGAAGGAAAAAAATTCACCACAATAAGCCACAGGTTTTAATATTTAGACGTAACTTCCCAGTTAGATATGGAATTCCCATTTAAGTAAGGCTGACAACATCTTAGGATCTTACCATTCAAACACTAAGTTATTATGATTATCTAATTTAAAGGAAAATATAATCCATTTAATATCTAGCCGTTTTAATAAATTTTACTATCTTTCAGTAGTCCAATTTATAAGATACAAATTCAATTTAATCAAATTACACCAGTTCAGTAAATAAAAAGTAACTAGTCACTGTCTTAGAAATGTGCAACAACTCTGGCCGCTGAGGGGTGAGGGTGGGGGGGGGCAGGCCACAGTGGTCTTCATACTTCTCATTAAATTATAATAAGAATACATTTTAGAGGAAAAGGTATCCCATTATCACAATTCTCAAACATTGTTACCACATTCATTTTAACAGTTCAATAGGGAAGTGGCTTCTCTAACAGCACTTCACAATGTTTTAGAAAAATTTCACATAACAGTACATATTTAAAAGGAGAATCACTTAATTAAAAGAGAATTCACCTTTTAATTACATTTCTGAAACCATACAATAATACATAATACAAGAAAAACCAGAAGCCTGAACAATATGAGTTTTTTTATCTCAAGTCAAATGACACCATGTTATGACCTCCGATGTTATTTAATCTAAAACCCAATAGCAATACACAACATATAGACAGTGCTTACTATGCCAAACACTTTACAATTATTTTATTTTTCCAACAACCTAGGGATAGATGCTATTTATTCCTAAAAAGAAAACCGAAGTGAAGTGATTCACCTAAAGTCACATAACTAATATTCCCGACACTTAATTTTAACTCATTTACTTGATACAGTCATTTTTCTGGAGTACTGTCTTTAGCAAATGTATCTAGTATTAAGTTCTCTGATGTACCACAATTATAATTTAGTTTCAAGACAAAATTTAGACCAGATCAAATCTAGATTTATAATCCCTACTGACAATATTTATTTCTCAATTTTCCCAAGAGCCCACCGTTTTCAGGTTTTAATTTTACAAAGTTAACTGGTTAAAATATAACCACACAAATCTAAAAATGATGGTGAGACTATAATTGCTAAGAATTAATTAAAACAATTAAATGTAAATTAAACAGTTCCTTTGATTGACATATACTTTGATCGATGTTTAAAAAATTTATAACAATTTTACTAGCTCTTTGATAGTGAAACAGATTGTTATGTTCGCCGAGCCAATTAAATTCGCCTCATCATCAAATTTTCAACCATGATTTGTATTAGAAAAATTCTTTCCTTATGAACTATCTGCCTTTACCATTTTGCCTTCAAGAATTAATCTGGGTCTGTTGAAGAACATAATTTTCCCAAGGTTAAAGATACAACCTTTTCCCTATTTCCTTTCAAATCACTCAAAAAGTCAAATTCATTTCTTTTTTTCTTCTTCAATCTAACACACCCTATCCTTTATCAGAATACTAGGATTTGTTTTATGAACTTGTACTTCATAAAATATGTGATTACACTTCCAACTGATAACAATTTGTTTTAAATTGTAAGCTTCCTAATTTCATCTCATAAAATGTCTACTTGTTTCAATATTGAAGACAATGAGATGAACATCTGAAATCATTCACGAATTTTGTTTTGTTTTCTCAAGACTTCAGTATTTTATACTGATATTTGTAAGCGATATACTCCTTTTAATTTGGTCTTTTGTAATATAAGCACCCTGTTAACTCTTTGTTTAATTCTACCCTCAGAAACTCTAGTTCAGAATAGTATTTCCGTATCTATTATAGTTCTATCGACATAAGTTTCACAGCATTTCGAATTAACCTAATAAATTTCTGTTGTGTCATTCAAGGAAGAACATTAAATTTTACTTGCTCTTCACGTCCTTCCTGATGTTAAAACCAGCTTTCCTCTCTCCATGGTCCCGTTGCAAGCTGTGAGCACTTTGGAATTCACGAGTTGCAGTTCTCTTTTCTCTAATCAGTAAACTCTTTACTCCCCAGAGAAAGAGTGATAAAGGCAAATTTTACAGAAACATTCTAACCACAGTTTGAAGAATTATACTACGGGAAACAACTTTTGGCTTCTACTTAGTTTATAATGTTATAAATTCCTGCAGATTGGGGACAAAGATTCCTGCCTTCTTATTTGTGTTTCTTGTCTGTTCTCCCCTTCCCCTGCCCCGCTGCCCCTCTCCCCCCATTTCCCCAACCCCACCCGCTCCCAGATTGGTCAGAGGCAGAAAGGAGGAAGGGGAGGGAAAAAGAGAGGGGGGAGTGGGAGGTGGAGGAGAGGGAGAAAGAGACAGACAGACAGACAGACAGACTTTCCTTTTGAAAGCTTTTCAGAGTTCTGCAGAAAGTTTTTACCCTCTGTAGTGTCTTCCTTTTGGCTGATCAGACTGTAGGAAAAGGGTTAGTTTAATTATCAAGACACATAAACAAACAAATGTACTTGCCAGAAATGTTTTTCCCTCCTTTAGTTTAATCAAAAAGTCAGTGTGCACAGTTCTTGATTGTAATCTTAAAGCCTTTAATAAGTGAACATTTCCTCTCTGGAACAGATCAGGGACCTATCTGGATTTTAATGTATTTTAGACCAGTCTTTACACAATTTAAGAGCTCTCTTTTTGGCCATTTTGAATTTACCTAACTGTAGAACCAATAATTAATTTGATAAGGATGAAGTTCTCCCATTCCCAAGTTTAACTTATCTAGAAACAAAAACACAGATGACAAGACAGATGAGGCGTTTCATGATAGTTCTCTTGATTCCCCTAATGACCCTTGCTCTATACAACTCCACACTCCCCCAGTATGGGTGCAGCAGAGCACATTCCACTACTGCTAAAAAACTCAGGAAGACAAATAATTAAACCAGAAATTCATTTGATACAGGTGAGATCATTCGATGGCAAATGCTAGTTTTTTGTAATATATAATAATCAAATGTGCCTCAGCTGAATTTCAAGCAATCTTGGACCAGAATTCACCCAGTTAACAGTGTGCACCTTCGTCATTTCTGGCTGTACCAATAACTTGCCTTGACCCCAGAATTTAAGTAGCTTCTATAAGGAGGTTCCCTTGGAAACACTACTACCTGCCCCCATTGTCACCCATAAAGGGAATTCTGGCTGCAGCATTTACAAGTGAACCCATAGTGAGGTGTCTATCACCTGAGGAGGACTGGTGGACTTCCATGGGGTGTCTCCCACCCATCCTAGTAAAGACAAGTAATGTGAGGTCCCGCTGAACAGAAATTTTTCTCAAGCCGCTTCACTTTTCCCCTTTGGGCAAGTGTTCGGAGATGTTTTAATAGTTCCTAATTAATTTCTGGAGTCCAATTTCTAATTAAAAGATTTGTCTAATTGTACAGAGATACAGTTCCTGGGATCGTCCTTCAGAACAGAGGCCTCTGGCTGACGACTTTTTCCAAGGAATCCCTGTCCAAGGGTCATGTGGTTCTGAGTCCCTGGGCCCTTGCTCTTTACAATGGCTCAGGCCCTCTGACCAAGCAGGTGCAGCTGCCTTGGGAATCTTAGTCACAGACCTGGGCCTCGCTTATGATTCTTTGGTAAGCCCAGAAATTCCTAACAGGGAGTGCCTCTTGGACCTTCTAACTGGTAGCCCCTGCTATCAAGATAGCCATCACAGTGCCATGCTTAAGACAGTCTTGGGGCAGCTGCTACCAATAATAGTGCCAAGATGGGTAGCCAGTTCATGCCTAGGGTCTATAGCTTAAGGGGCACTTGGGAACTGCCTTAATTTGCAGCAATTAAATACAGACAGTTCTCACTTTACATAATTTGCATTACACAAATCTGACTTTATGTAAAGAATTCTGAAAGAAATTTCAGCCAACCATCAGTTATAAAGACTAGGTGCAGTGGGTGGGGAAGAGGCAACATACTGTAAACCTATGTTTGCTTTATTGCACAGTACTGTGCATATGTCATCATTAACTTTACCTTTTATTTCATAATTGTTTATTATCATGGTACAGTATTTAATGTCTACATTTCAGTCCATTTTATGACTTGCATAAGTTATTATTTTGTGTATGCCTTGGTTATACAGGCTAAGTGAAGTGGGTGGATAAGAATAAACTCCAACCATAACCCTAAAAACACCTTATTTGCATTACGTAAAAATCATTTTATGTTGAGGTCTGCAGAATAATCCACTTAGGTAAATCCAAATCTGTCTGTGTGATGAATTTAAGCACAAAGAATTTTATCAGCTGAAAAGCTATTTCATTTTGACCAACTAGAACCAAAAAAGGAAGTCACTGATGTTACAAATTTTGCTTCTAACTTTCACTTCTTTTGCTTCTAATTTCACTTCTTTCAGTTTCAAATACTGACACCTTTATTCAAAGTTGGTATGTTTAATTTTCTGGAAAGAAATCATTTCAACACCAGACTTGCTACCAATTTAACTCTACTTGTATAATATCTGTCTAGGTGTCCCAGAGACCTTCCCAGGTGCAGAAGAAACTGCTCTGTGTGTAAAAGAGATTCCTTTGCTTTTTGCAGAAGTAAATCTTCCTCCTCTTCATGCAGGAGAGATTTTTCTATCTGCAACAGGGATTGTTCTACTTGCACCAAAGAATGCTCTACATAAGACAAAAAACTTCCATTCTGTTGATAAGGATCTCCCATTTAGGAGCTTACCTTGGCTCAGAAAAATTTGGGTTAGGCCCGAGGGGGAGTCCGTCCTCCGGGGCAGTCTTTTGAGAAGAATTCTTCTGAGAAGCAGTCCCGGGGGCTGGAGGCCCTCACTCGGGTCCCATCTGGGTCGCCAACTGTGGTGATAACAATCTGCAATAAAGAGAAACTGAGGCAATAAAGTTCCGAGCATATTCAATTTATTAGCAAAACCAGCAATTGCCAATAAATAGGCTCCAGGGATCCTCAGTAGCCAAGGATGCATCAGACGGTCAAGGCAGCTCTTTTAGAGTCAGTATCAAGGCACTGATCAGCCTATACAATCTTGGGCAACACAGGGGCTCTTACTTCTGACCGCCTGGTGCCAAAGTCACTAGCCACAAATTACATCACACCAGGTGGCCTAACATTGGACCAACATCCTCTGGACAGTTCCATGGCGGCCACTTTCTAAGGGAGAGAGGAATCTTGCGGTCTGGTTGATGCTTCCGAGGGGGCATGCTATTTATTCCTGGCTGAATTGAAATTCTGTGGGTGGAGAGTACCCAGGAAAGGGGAGCTGACACTTAGGGCTGTTTACTTGGTTATGAGGGAGACTGTAGGACAGGGTCAAGCTGTTTGTCCTTATGGTTATTAAAATGTACACGAGGAAACAATAACAGGATGGCTTTGCCAGCAATGCATGATTACTTTGTAGGCAGGGGTGACGTGTTAAAAATAGGAAGCTTGCAGCTTCAGGCTAAAGTTCAGAGAACGTTCAAGTTCACATACTAAGGGAGAGTAACTAATACATAACTTAATCATTAACCCATAGTAAATTCATTAAGCTTTAGTAAAATAATACAAAATAAAGTGGGGTATCAAATTTCAATTCCACACCTCCCTAGGACTCAAAAGTCCATCGTAATCTACCGAGGTCCCTTGACAATACAAATACTTCCTGTAAAGGGACAGAGACAAAAATTCCTAAACTACTTGCACACAACAGAATATCTGGGGATAGAAGTCCTCTGAAGAAATTCTCTATCAGAACAACTTGTTGCTTAAATCCAGGGTAACAGGGGCCAAAGACACCCTGCAAGGTTTATAGCAAGTCACTAACAGCACCATTTCATTGATGGAGTCAATATTTTGGAAAACTATCAGCTTTAACCTGATTGTCTGACACAGGAAAATCATGTGATAGTTTAGAATGCTCTTAGTGTTAATGTGCGTTCTTGGGTATTCTGTGATCCCACACTGTAAATATAAAATAATGATCAATAAAGAAAAAATGGGGAGCCCTAAGGAGCCAGAACAAGTTAGAGCCTCACACTCAACTACATGTGATCCAGGGCCCAGATATTGAGGGAATATCTGGGCCTACTGGTTTAAGTGAAGCTAAATAAGAGTAATTAAAGAATTCTGTTGGCTAAAGGAGGATCGAGCAAAATGTCTTCCCCTGAGTTTTTGCTAGGGAAAGAAGTGACAGCAGAACCTTTACGAACAGCTCAATAATGATAATAATAATAATAAATAAGTGTCCAAATGGAGGTTATTATTGGGGGAGAAACTGACACTAAAACATGGTGAGAATGACCCCCAGAAAATAAAAGGAGGCTGTTACAGACGTGTAGGCTCTTTGCTCTTCTGGCACCAGCCACTCTGTGCCTCCTCATTCTAGGCTCCTCTGGCTCCCCTACTATACTGACCACTCATGATCTCTCTTCATCTTCCTCCATCCATCCCTGGCCACAACGTGTTTAAGGATGTGCTCTCTCCTTGCTTCCCCAACCTCTAGCTTTCTTACTCTCAGTTAACCTGACTGAAGTTGTATCTTCAAGGTGCATGGTACAAAAAGGGTGGCCTGATGTCCTACATTGCAGCTGATGGATGGAATTGTAGCAGTGACTAGAGAAGTGATGACCAGGCTGTGCTTCTTCTCTCTATCCACGCTGCTCAGGGTTCCTGGAAATTATCAATTTCTCACACGTTTATGGATGGGATTGTCTTATCTTACCACTTAACCTCCAACTTACAAATACATATTTAAGTGTGCTGCAGAGGCAAAGGAGAGAATCTGAAATTCTTCCCTGCACCCCAAAGGTATAGTTACTTGAGAATCATGAAATCTACATTTTGGACAGAATTCCTCGGCAGTCACACTGCGAATGGCATCATCTTTGCCGTCACCTACCCGCTCCTAACAGTTACTTTGCCTTCCAAGGTAGTTTTGGTACCTGAGTCTCATTTTACCTTGCCACTCTTGCTGGTTTCAACATCTGCAATGCAGCACACACACACACACACAAATAAATAAACAGGTCATTAACACCCTGTCATTCACCTCCCAATCCATAACCAACCATCAGACTGCCAGAGTCTGGCCCTCACCACATGCCACCTCTTCACATCTATAGATCTCAAATTGTATGGCCTTATTTCCCACTCTAACTTCTTTGCTGATTAGATATTTCACTTTCAAACATCCACTCTTTCTGTTCTGCATCCTTACTGATACCTCAATTCCCTCGACAGCACTCACAATTCACAAAAAATATCATCATCTTCCTCTTAGCTGTACTTTATTTCCTCTAAGGCCTGATCTCCATTATTAGTACTTTAGAGATGCTGCATAAAACCTTAGTATACCTGTATTTCCACAATGCCTCTCTCATCTTTCTGCAACTCTGGAACCTTCTCTCAGTTTTAACAATAATAATAATAATACTGATAACAGCTAGCATTTATATAGTACTTACTATGTGCCAGGCACTGTGCTAAGTGCTTTACAATTATAATTTCATTTGATCCTCACAACAACCCTGGGAAATAGGTACTATTATTATCTTCATTTTACAGTGGAGGAAACTGAGCCAGGCACTTGTCCAGAATCACAGAACTAGTAAGTATCTGAGGCCAGATTTGAACTAAGGTGCTCTATCCATTAACCATCCTGCTGTTTTATTCATTCCTGGTTCTAGAGAGAGAGAAAAAAAAAGTAGAAGAGGAAGAGAGACCAAAAAGACCTTGTCCCACTAAGAATTCAAGCTACTAACATCCTCTTTTTATTGCCTATGCTACAGTAACTTTCATTTAAATCCTAGCATTTAGGATTTAAATCCATATTTAAACGGATTTTTAAATCCATATCTTAGCCGCTCCCTCTTCCTCAAAGGCACAACCCAGACATTCTCCTCATGACCAGCATGTGCCATGTCCATATTTTTCTTCTCTATAATTCTTTTCTTAGCTTAACTGAAGTTTGCTTTCTATCCACAGTACTTTTGTCTTTTTTCACCATAATATAGACTCTAAAACTTGCTCTCTATACTTTTTTCCAGATTAGGAATTTCTGCTTCCAGTGCCAAAGCAAACAGTCTGCTCTTTGTAGAGGTGCAAACTCAATGTCTTCAGTGTCCTTTACGGTTGTCCACAACCTGAGACCATTTGAACTTACATCCTCCCACTCCCTAACAGGAACTATCTGCCATCACCTATCCACACAAGGTCCAAAAGATGACTCTAATACCCACCTTTCCAATCAGCCTAAGCCTACCTCTCCCTAAGACCAAGTCGATGAAACCTTCATCAATCTTCTTGTTCATTTGAGCCTCCACCAACGTCCTCCTCTAAACCAATACGCCATTAATGCCTCTATCTGCTCATTTCAGCTCTTCAAAAACAATACTGGGAAATGCACATGTAACACCTACTCTTGATCTAGTTTGCAAAATGCAATTTTAAATTCACAGGGAAGGGCTGTCATCTATATTTCTTTTGCCTCCCTCAGAGCAGCTGATTCAGTACCGAGCACTCAGAGGATGTGAACATCCTGGTTAATGAGTTAGTTGGGGACTAGAGAGAAAGGAAGCTTGATAACTGAAATTATTCCTTATGGAATGAACCACTTATCCCACGATCCAGTTTCCAAAATACGGGAAAGAAGATAGCCTACGCCCTTAAAATCTAGGTTTTAATCATTTTGGCCGTAAACTCCAACTCACCTGCAAACCGGCGGGTTGGATGACAGGGACCATTCCCTTTCCCTTTCGGAAAACAAGAGTTGTCAGAAGGCAGATCTGCGGAGGAGAGATGGAGCAGCGTGAGCAGCAGCAGCATTCTCTGGTGACTCGGGGCAGGGGCCACGGCCAGATGCATGACGTGATGCATCCAGATGCATCCAAGGGCGGGCGGCCGGCGCCCCCACGCCCTCCTCATCCTCGGTCCCTGGCCAGCGGCCGCAGCAGGGATGGAGGCGGGGCAGGGGTCAGCCCCCCCTGCCCCAACCCCAGAGGAGGAAAAGGGGGAAAGCCGAGGGCGGGGCCGAGCAGGAGGAACAAGGGCAAGACTTCTGACCCGAGTGGGGGTGGGGGCGGGGGCGGGGGCAGGGCGCCTGAGTCCCGAGACCCTTCAGGAAATACTCACCTCGTACAGAAACGGCCGAGTGACTGCGCGCCTCTGCCTTGCGGAAGTAAGGCAACGGAAGTCTCACCAGGACGCTTCCGGTTCCGGCGGCGATCTTCGGCTGCCTCTCTAGTCAGGTCTAGGGGACAAGACGAACGGCTTCGCCTGGACTTCTGGGAAACGTAGTTCTGAAATCAGCGGAGGCGTCTTTGGTGAATGCGCAAGCGCAGCCCCAGGCACGGGGAAAGTACCTGCGGATGGGCTCCCTCTGCTCCCTCTGCTGGAGCTAGGAAGTACTCCTTGCTGAGGAGGAGCGGGCAGCAGACGGGCCTGGAGAGCGCGTGGATTGTCTGTTACATACACGACACCACAGATGTCATGGATATAACGATAATGGCAATAACAACAAATACAACAGATTCTTGTTATTCTTACTTTCATCATCAACTTTTGTTTTTCCCTTTCCCTATTCGTTTTGCCCAGCTGTCATTTCTTTTAACTCTCCCCACCCCGAAATGAACACCCCTATGTTACAAGAACAACAAAAAAAGCCAGGTGTCAGCTCTATAAAGAGGTGAATAAAAGACTTTCGGGTCAAAGGCTCCTTCCCCGATTCAATTTCACCGTGCAGTGGTCACATCCTCGGTACCTCCACAAGGTTCGAGGGAGATGAGACTTCTGGAGAAACCATGCCCGGTGATGCCACCTCCAAAACAAGAAATGATTCAGGATTTGATCACGTGGCAAATATTACCTGGTGACCAACCCGGTGAAGACTGAACAGCTGTGTCAGTTTGGGCCAGAAGAATTTTTTTCTAAAGTATAGACACCACCTTGTACTGCGGTTTATCAAGCCTTTGGGAGGGCCCTACCACGTCATTAAGACAGAGGCAATGTAGTCACTAGGTGGAGGACCCCAAGAAGCAGAGGGATAGGAAGGAAACAAGGAATCTTAATTCCAGGCCCAGTGTTCTATTCACAGTACCATTGAGCTACCAGTGAAGACCACTCCTGCTAATTTCATGGGTGGTTTAATTATCTTTATATTTACACAGATATAACACACCATCATTTGATCAGGGACCATTACGTTTCTTTATTGAGATCTGTCCCCACCCATGGAAAATGCCATCAGCTGCTAAATCTCACTTAAAATAAACTTCCTGCGATTCTTCGATCCCTAAGTACCATCAACATTGAAATAAAGATGGACCAGGACAAACACGTCCACTCCACTTTAGGAATTCCATTGTGAAGGCCAACCTGTATTCTCAAAACCTAGAAATTTCTAGGAGAAAAATGGTCTTGGGGCCCCATACGTGTACCATGATCTAAACAGGATATAGGTGAGAGGCACAGTCAAGATGGCAGAAGCAGCCGACATCTGAGGTGGCCAGCTGTTCCCAAGACCCCAGGATTAGAAGAGGACAGCTGACGTAGGCCACCAACCCAAGAAACTGGATATGGGCTGGAGGTTTGCAGCTACTCCCTCTATGAACTAAGCCTTTTCTTTTTCCTTGCTACCGTCCCCACAATCTCTCAATGTTCATGGGAGTAGCAGGGATTTTTTTTCCTTTCACTTTTCCGTTGTATTTATCTTCCTAAGTTGTGATGAATGAAAATTTTGTTATTTAAGGTAAAAACTCCTGGGACTATAATTTGTTTTAAGCTTTGGTTACAGGGATGGCTGTCTGAATTCTCATAAAGCCAATAATAGGAAATGGCATGTGTGGCAGTCTGAGGATTACTAAGGTAGATGTCGGTCCCTGGGAAAGGTTATGGGGATGACCTAGCACACAGCCTAGGTAGGATCCTTCTGACTTTATTTCCCTATCATATTATTTCCTTTCTGGAAAAGGAAAATTCCCACCTGGTCAATCCTGAACCTTGCCTTTAGCACTCTATAACTATATGATTGGCTGGCAGATAAGACTCATGCCTGGAATCAACATAGTAAGGGAGTGTCACCCCTGTATATAACTATATCCCTCTTTTTCCTTTTATAGCAAATTTCTGTAATCAAGAAATTTTTCAATTTCATGTTTCAAATGAATGTTCCTCATCAGCCTTCAAGGGTCGTTCCAACCTCTTAGCTGAAAGGAGGAAATGTGAAGGGAATTGTGATTTTTCATATTAATGGATATGATATGTGTAATGAATATACTAATAGATTAGATTTTCAGAATTGCCTCTTCTTGTGAGTCAGAATTAACAATGCGGCTTGAAATGATGAATCAAACCTTGGCAACAATCACAATCACTGCATTCTTGTACCTGTGTACCATAAGTGAAGTGAATCAAAGACTGTTCCCGTCACAGAACTCTGGTCCTGTGACCCACCAAGTAATGACCCCGAAAGACTTGAGCAATATTACTACCACAGAGACTCTGGAATTGTTGCATTGTCTTCCACTTATGGGCTTGTCATGAGAAACCACTCTGGCCCTGAGAAACAATTATTTGTAATCCGCCGTCCCCCTTCCATTCCCATTGTGATTTATGTATATAATCTCTATCTTCACTTCAGCAAGGTGGAATTCGGATCAGGAGAATTCCCGATTTGCAAATCTGTCCCTCATAATGAAACTAATTAATTGAGCAGCTACCTGATCATGGCACTTTGTCTCTGGCCTGCCGTTTCATCACTCTTAGGTTAGAGACTGGCTCACTAAAAATCCAGTTAACAATGTAATTCTCAACTGTTCATGGCATTTTCACAAAAATTGACCATGTATTAGGGCATTAAAAAAAAAAACTAACAGAATTGAAGAAAAGCAGATATATTAAATCTATCTTTTTTCAAAACACTGAAACATTTAAAATTACATTAGAGTCATTGAAGCATAGATTAAAAATGAAGTGGAAACTAAATAACTTAATGCTAAAAATTGATGGGTCAAAGAATAAATCATAGAAATAATCAATAATTTCATTCAAGACAATAGCAACAGTGAGACAACATACCAAAATTGATAGGATGTAGCCAAAGCAGTACTTAAGAGAAAATTTATGACTCTAAATGCTTACATCAGTAAAAGAAAGAACAAACAGATCAATGAATTGGGTATGCAACTAAAAAACCTAGAAAACTAACAGATTAGAAACCACTATTTAAATATCAAGGTAAAAATCCTGAAAATCAAAAGAGAGATTAACAAAATTGAAAGTTTTTTTTTAATTCCTAATGAATAAAACTAGGAGCTGGTTTTTTGGTTTGTTTGTTTTGATTTTTGTTTCTGTTTGTTTGTTTTTTGAGAAAAAAATAGATAAGACATTAGTTAATTTGATTAAGAAATAGAAAAAAAGGGGCAGCTAGGTGGCACAGTGGATAAAGCACCAGCCCTGGAGTCAGGAGGACCTGAGTTCAAATCGGCCTCAGACACTTGACCCTCACTAGCTCTGTGACCTTGGGCAAGTCACTTAAGCCCATTGCCTAGTCAAAAAAAAAAAAAAAAAAGAAGAAGAAATAGAAAGAAGAAAAGTGAATTATCAACATCAAAAACAAAATGGGAGAATCCACAATTAATGAAGAATAAAAACAATTACTAGGAGTTATTTTCCTCAGATAAATTTTATCAAAGTCCAGTGGTAAGACAAAAGTCAAGATGATTGGTGATGGTTCAGGATACCATGCAGTCAGTGATGTGAGACTGGAAGTCAGGAAAGAAGTTGGGATTGAATAAATAGATATCAGAATCATCTGTATAAAGATGATAATGGGAACTGATGAAATCACCAAATAAGATAATATAGAGGGTCCAAATGAGAAGACAAGAGCATCTAGAACAGACATGTGGGGGTTACAGACATCCCAGTTATTCATCACCACTCCATAATCAGCCATCAGAAAACAGATGAAGCTTGGACCTCATCTCATGCCACTACTTCACACCCTATACATTTCAAATATGGAAGGCCCCATTTCCCAATCCAGCTTCTTTCTGCACCAGATCTCTTACTCTCCAACATCTGGTTTTGCATCTACCTTGATATTTAAATTCCCTGACCAACACCCACAATTAAAAAAAATTAGCCTTTGCCTCACTGCACCTGACTTTCTCTATGGCTTGGTATCCATGGTCAACTACTTTATATATGCTTCACAACAATCCCAGTCTACCTCAATTTCCATAATGCCTGTCTCACCAATCTGCAACTCTGGGTCCCTCCCACTGTCTGTCTGTTCCATGTATCAGGCCAGTCCCAGGCAGAAAAAAAAGTAAATGGGAGAGAAACACAGATCAAAAAGCCCTGACCCATATCAAATTTGTGCAACTGACTTCCTATTTTTACTTATCTATACTATAAGAACTTGCTACTGGTCTCTGACCTAAACCCTAGCACATTTCATACCTTGACTGTTCTCCCTTCCACCATGTGAAAGTTCCTTACAGGACAAGTGTCGCCATTCCTCACAGCATCTAACTTAGTACTGAAAGCATGCAGGTCTTGGCCAATAAATTAGCTAGAGCTCTAAGGAATGGGATGCTAGGCAAATGGAAAGTTTTCCCTATGGAAGGCACTGACTCTCAGGATGGCAATCTCTTGTCTTCCAGAATAGAGGGGAGAGGTCTTTCTGTGCTCTAAAAATGTACTTATCAATCCAACTGAATAAAAACTCCAATGAGTTCCATTTCCTCTTTTGGAAAACAACAGAGTTCTCACAAAGCAGATCTAGGACGTAGACATCAAGCATGACCAAGACCAGTATCTTTTGGTAACTCCAGGTAGGAACCAACGGTCATGGGGTCATGGATTTTGAACTAGAAGACACCTGAGAGAACAGAAGATCATCCTGCTCACCATTCTCATTTTTACAAATGAAGAGATTGAGGCTCAGAAGTTACATGATTCGCTCAGGATCCAACAGGTGGGCTCTCATCAATGTATGGGGCAGGACACAAGAAGCCCTTGTCTTCTGCTCCCATGAGGATCCCACTTAGGCCCTAACTACTCAGTGCCCTCATGCCCTCCTTTCCCTGGGCAGAGGCTCAAGCAGTAGCAGCAAGAATGGAGACGGGGCAGGGGCTTGG